GTGTGTGTGTGTGTGTGTGTGTGTGTGTGTGTGTGTGTGCCCAAAATCCTGAGAGGAGAATGGAGAGGAAGAGACTGTAGTGTAGCCATCCCCTGGGGGGGGGTGGTTTCCTGCTGTCTCTCTCTGTCTCTGTTTCTCCGGCAAGTGCCCAAGCCCCATAGCAAAAATATCTCTCTCTCTAAAAAAAAGAGTGTTTTATATATGCACTTGGTTTTGTTTTGCTTTTTAGTTTTTGCCAGAGGGCACATGCACTTGCTGGAAAGAGACAGAGAAACACAGAGAGGGAAAGTGAGAAAGCACCCCTCAAGGTATGGCCATGCTGCAATCCCTTCTTCCTCATCTCTGCCTTCTTTTGAGATTTAAGCATGCACATACGCATGTACAGTGTGCTTTTCAAAGTGCCCGGTCCAGGACTCAAACTGTACAATTAGCCATGTGGCATCCAGTCACCTGGACTACCATGCCACTGGCTGATCCTATAGACACAGTTTAGAGAGTTAGGCTTAAATTAGGACCTAAAATCCTTTAGAACTCTAACATTTTCACACAAATTGACTTGAAAAGAATTTGAAGAGGTATGAACTTTCATCTGGGCAAGGTGGAATCCTTTATTTCAATTGTGTACTTAAATGTCTGCATTTATTTCATTATGTAATTGAAATGATGTTTCACATAGCTGAAAGAAAAACAACAAAACAAAAATATCTGACTGCCTCATCATATCCCCATTTTTTTCCAAACATAAAAATGCCATGGAATATAATTTAACAACTCTTACAGAAACAATAAAAGGCATACTTTGAATTAACACTGAACTTAAAACCACCAAAAGTAGATTCTGGCCACCCAGAGTAAAGTAACAACACTTGTAAACTTCTAAAGGAAATTCGCTGTAACTCTGGAGAAAAAGCAGATGTCCATGAATAAAATAAAACTCAAAATTCACTTACACATATTTCCTGACTATGTGAGTCCAAAGGCAAAACTATAAAAAGCTCTACACAAACAACATTTATGCACCTTCTAACTGGTTCCACATCCCCTTTCTCTGGCCCTTACATCAACAGCAGGTAACTATTTTTGTTACTGCCTTTTTTCCTTGCCGAAGTTTCTTGTTCATCAGTGTTCTTGTTCCAGTGTTTCTTTAAGTAAACAATAACATATATAAAGACATACTCTTGTTTTCTTTTTCTATTTTAAGCTGATTCATTTTTTTATACAAGAGAAACATAGAATAAGAGAGAAAGAAGTGAAAGAGAGGGAGGGAAATCTTCATGCCACAATCCACTCCCAGGCAGCCAGGATCATGGCACAAGGAATGTGCTTGAGCCCAGTCAGCATAAACAGGGAGAACTAGAGATGGGAACCCAGGACCTTCCCATGTGGTCTCATCATTTCAGAGCTCCCCCACCTGGGGCTGGCCTCCCCTACTTTCTTACACAAAAACAGACAGACTTGCTGATAGAACGCACTATCCAAATTTCGGAACTTTTGAATTCCAGTGTCTCAGTTTAATTCTGAGCTACATTTCTCTTACTGTAAGTGAGGAGAGATCGTCTTTTTCTATGCAGTCATGTGCCACATAGGAACACATTATGTTTTGGTTAACGGTAAACTGCATATACAATGCAGGTCTCATGAGATACCATATAGCTGGAGCCAGCAGGTGACATGGTGGTTAAGGCCCTGGATTTCCCCATGGACAAC